GATAACTGTATTATGATTCTTCTTAAATTTTTATTATCTAGAACATGATGGTAAAATGTTTACTTTATGTTTAGGATTTGGTTCTACATCCTCAGGAGGCAGAAGGATAGTATGTGAGGAAAGATGTGAAGTGAGGATGATTTTGAACTGCTAATTGTTGAAGCTGGTGATGTGCACATGTAAGTTCATTAAACCAGTCTCTATAATTTTGCATATGTTTGGAAATTTTTCTCAAACTTTCTACTGAAATGATGTTTGTAAAATGGCAGATGGTGTCAGATAAGCTACCAAAATTTCTAAGACTGTTACATAAAGGCACAAAAGTGTATTCATTGATGATTGCTCACCTGCCTCTGCTAGCAAGCATGATGCATTTACACAGGCAGACCCTCCTCTTAAAGAATAAAATATTCTTGATGATGATGGTGGCATGTTGAGAATGCAGAATTCAACCAAGAGTGTGCTGATAAGAGAGAGTCAAATGTTCAATTTTATTCATTCTAATGTTAAGGTGCTATTTATAATACTCTATTTGTATAAGACTAGAAATAACAGCAAAGTACTGAGCTAGAGATACATTTAAATCTTCAGCATATAGATGTAACTGTGTTAGTTTACTATTGTGTCACAGATTCCTTCAAGCATAGTGGCCTAAAATAACACATACTTATTAGTTCAGGGTTCTGTAGGTCTCTGGCAGAGCATGGCTGGGATCTCTATTTGGAATCTCACAAGTCTGAATTCAAAGTTGTCACCTTGAGTTTATCTCTAATCTGGAGGTGCTAGGGGAATTTTTTTTCTTTATAAACTCATTCTTCTAGTTGACAAAATTCAATCCCTTGTGATTGTAGGACTGAGATCCCTATTTCCATGCACTGTCAGCTGGAGGTTGCTATCATCTCTTAGAGACCCCCCATAGTCCTTGCTATATGGTCTTCTCTGTCTTCAAGACAAAAACTGTGTATCAGATCTTGAAATATCTGACTTCCCTTTTGGAGGCCATGCAGAGAAAATGGTCCACTTTTGATGGATTCCTGTAAGTAGCCCATTAAAGTCCCATTAGTACTTCAATTACATTGGCAAACTTTTATTAGAATGAATAGATGAAGAAGATATGTGCACATTAAAGGCCAA